ATGATCAGGATGGGGGATTAGGTTAAACAGAGGTTAATGGATTGGGCACTGTTTGTACGGTCGTTGCACACAGAGTTGAACGGCCACACCACCCAATCCTGGCGAGCAGACATTCAGGCATACGATGACGCACAGAGCGATAACGTGTCCCACATCAGTAATATCGGGGGCAACAGAACGTATGGTGTGAGTATCGTTTTTGGTGGTGCGTGTCTGGCTTATTCAGAGCCAATTCTTTAACATGCAGGCATACGATGACGCACAGAGCGATAACGTATCCCACAGATGTAATGATTTGCCCATATTTTCGATGTCATCTTAATTTTTATAATGAAAAACTCACCAGGATTTAATTTTTCATTCTACTTTTCAAATTGGTGGAATTCAATTTTTAATTCGTTTGGCGATAATTACGTGAATCATATTCTTATTAGCCCCGACTTTTGAAAGTTAGACTACGCCCTGTATAAAATGTATATTTTAAATTGTGGTACTTTCAGAATGTCCTCTTTCGTCAACATCAAATGATTTGGCAAACAAAAAATTACTTCTTGTTATGCGTGAATGATTCCTATTTGAAAAGTTTGTACTACATCTTTAATTATTATAGATCACGTGAACTGAAATGAAATCCAAAGTTACATTACGCAGAAACTTAGTAGACGAATTAACATTTTAGAGCCCAGTGTCAACTTTATATCTCTATTATAAGTTGATCATCAAGAGTCTGCCAGTAAGTCTTTTCAGATAAGTCTCGTTAGTTCGAATTGCCTGCTTTCAGATAACTAAGCCAAATTAAGGAATATTTTGGCTTTGGTGGGGCGAAGGTATCTTTAAATTGCTCTGGTAAGATTATTGCATCCACTTCTTGACATCTCAGTGACATGCAGGATGGCCACTAAACATAGGGGTATAATTGACCGATATGAGTTGTTCTCTAATTAGTATTGGTTAGTGAATTCTCTGAAGATATAATTACCTCTTCATTCTAGGCATGCATTTCATAGATCACTCGTGAGAATTTATATTCGTAGAATGTTGATGGGTACTGCATTCATTCACGGAAGCTCTCTGGCAGATTATTTACTATGCTTCATCAACATGTTACTTTTTAATAAACCAAAAAAGACCGTGATAATGCTTGCAGCATGTTCCGATCACCTTGCATTTGATAATTAAGTAAAGACGGTAAATTTAAACTCACGTTTCTCATTGAATGTATGAATAGAGGTAAATTGATTCAATTAATCATTTCAAATAATAAATAGGTAGATCTTTGATTTGAAAAATACATTAAAGGTGATCAAATCGAGGTTTTCATTTACAAAATTTGTTTATTACGTGATAAGACGTGTTACTGGTAGATTGAGTGAACACTGATACTAAATGCCGTCCTCAGAAAATTGAAATAACTTTTGAAAGGAAGTAAATGCCTTCTTAAAATAAATCGACATATTGCTATTATAAAGTACCCAAACAACTTAACGGGTATGCTTAATCTGCCCAATAGCCAAGTCTAATGATAAAAGATTTGAATTAAGGAGAAATTAGTGAAATAGAAGCCAGCAGAATAGTATTCTTTGTCTTTCTCAATCTTTCTGTCGGAAGATTTTTCATTTTATTTGATCGTTTTGATGCTTTCAGGAATACTGTTAGATCACTTACCGTGAAACAGACTTGCTTCGCGGTAGTTTATATAATTAAAACTTTTACCAATTATTCATTAAAATTGTAAAATCGTACACACTCGAGGATCAATAACAAACCATAATCAATCTAAAGTTAATTCTTGCTGCTGTAGAAGGGTAGAAATGGTAAGCTTCCTTATAAGACGAGACCTTTTCGATATGAACGAATATGACGTACCCTTCCTTTATTAGAACCGATATTTTGAAACCATTATAAGTGAAGCAATAACAACTCCAAATAGGTCAGATACAAGATTACGAATAGACTCTTTCCTTGAATTGGATAATTTATAACTTGGAACTTTTAGCTACATAATTTAAAGAAATCATTTCAGTTAAAATAATGATGAACGGGAGAAAACACGAGAAGAAATATATTTCAGAACAATAAATAATTATGAATTTCAGTAAATAGATAACGGAACCAATTTCTTGAATGCTCTTCTCACAATAATTTAAAAATAATGACAAAACTGAAGTAATTAATTTTCACAGTCTGAATAAACGTGTTTATGGTTGTGTATCGAGGTTATTGATTATCACATGGAGCTTGATTCAACTAACAAACTGGCAATTCGGAACCAATAAATGCAATTCTCGAAAATCCTCCATACTCGTCAGACCTTACCCCACTCCACTATCATATTTCCGTTTCCCAAGAATATTTACTAAGTTAAAAATGGTATTTAACTGTGACGGAAGTCGAAAACCACTTAAATGAATATTTAGGCTCAGAATATTCGATTTATTTAACTAGAAGATTGACAGGAAACAAAAAGGATTACGAATGATGGAAGATGTATTACTATGTAATTTCATTTACATAATTTAAAAATAAATTTGATTTTGATATTGATTTCAAGATGAAGGGGTTTCTTAGCGTATGACAGATTTTTTTATCCAACAAATGAAAATAGCTCGACTCTCTTAATCTTGGCAGTTGCGAGTAATTGAAAGCAATTTGTGAAAAAAACAATACAATTAATCCAAATTCATTTCTTTTGAGAGTTTCAGAAAGTGGCGAGGGGACTTTCTTCGACCTTACTGACTCGTGCTTCCATAGAGACTTTACTTTGAAAATCAGCCAAACACCAAATAGACTTTCCTTGTTATGTTAATTTTGCTTAACAAATTCAAAGAACTGCTTAAGCCCCGAGTGAGAAGTGTCATGAGCGCTTAACTAGAGAAGATGAGTAGTATCTTGGGGCAACTGCGCTGGGAACTTCATATTCTCTAACCTCCCCCCCCATTGTCCGAAATAATCATAATCGAATGGCTGCTCTGCTCAATGGCAGTATAAGGATGAGAATCGGCTCCATAGACGCTGTCGTTGCAGACAATGGAGCAACCAACTCGGAGTTTGCTTCTGTCTTCCCAGTGTAGAAGATAGTTTTTTTTTCTTATATTAGTAACAAATTTTATTTTGAGACTAAATGGAGGCAAGCCACTATTTCATTGAACAATACGGACTATAAGTCCAAAAACCGCAACTTGAATCTTTTCATTTTCGATCCCCCCTACAGACAGTTTGCGCAAAATTAATAAGCAAAGTATTGGAAGACTATGACACAACCTCCTTAGATTTTATTAAAGTCACTCAAAGAGTTTATTTGTTTATGACAAATATTAATATTAATTTTAAATTAACCATAACTTTCACATATATTTATTGCCCAACCGAAATGGTAAAATCAATTAAAATAGATATCAATGTATGATACGATTTAAAAAGTCAATTGAAAATTCCCAAGAATGATTAACATGATCTCATGATTTGGTTATTTGGTAATAAAAATAAGTCAAATTCAAAATTTTAGCCACGGATTGAAACAAAGTAAAAATCGAAAGTGATAGTCAGGGCGATGGTGAATCATGAACACCGTAGACACAGCCGTTGTATATAAAGACGAGGCAAGTGCCAGGCTTGTGGGCATGTCTTGCCCAATATCGACCTTCAGAAATGAAGCACGTCCAATCACCACCATAGACCTTCTCCAGTCGTGATTTCAGCTCCCGTAACATTTCCTGTAGAAAAGAATAAAACGTTGAAAGCATACACTGCTTCACTCATTTTTTGGTGATTAAAGAATTTCATTTACCGGTTTTTCCTTATGTTTAGCTACTAATTCTAGGACGAAGAGAGCAACAGAGTCTCTTTGCATTGTTGGCATTTGACAGGTCAGATAACTGACATCTTTAAGGGCATGTGGTCTAAAAATAAAATAGTAATATTCTGAAGTTAAAAGTAGCTTTACAAATAATTTGTTTAGCATTTTATTTCCGAAAGTCATATTACTACGATTCCAAAATTAATACTACTATACTAATCTTATTTAAAATAATGAAAAGTCAAGTTTTCTTCGAGCCAAAGTTTCTCTAGCGGTAATAAAAAGGACTAACATAAAATTTAACTTTAATGTCTCAAAAACATTCGAAAGCGAATTATTATTCAATTTTTCGCTTTGATAATTACTTCAAAAGAACAAATTTTTGAGCGTGAAGAAAATACCGACGTGTGTTTCATGACCTGACTTGAGTAATGAGCTAGCAAAGTTAATCCTTAATACCATAGATCAAATTTCCTTATCTTTTATCTCCTAAAATATCAATCAATCTGGATGAATCTTTAATTTATTAAACGACTACTGTTACTAAAATTTAATTGAAAAATTTAAAACTGATATATTCTACCTTGTGGCATCAAAATTAATTCCGTTATAGATATCATTTCGAGTGATGTATTTCTTCCTCTCTGGATCGACCATGTTAATAATAGCCTTTAAAGAGAGAAAAATATACAAAAAATAATCAGTCATTAATAACGAAAATTTTGCACTGAGATTAAACCTACGGCAACTTCATTGGCAGGCGTACCCCATTTTATCAACTTATCGCGATAAAGGTCAACAGGAATACCTGAAAATAAAAGTCACATTTATACTGTTTTGTTTTAAACTTCGACTTAGTAATCTTTTCAAGCGATATACCAATAGACGAATACTTAAAATCACTGCTTTTCCAAAAGCTACGAGAATGACGTGAATAATCTTAGATTTTAAATTTACTAAGATTATTAATAGGCCAAAAAATATTTCACTTACTTGGATTTTTCTCTTGCAACTCGTCAAAATATAGAATGTATTTCTCAGCGTCGTACTTGCTAGTCATGTGGGAATCGAGAGCTTTGTTAGTAAAATGCAACTCAAGGCGGTCTTAGTGATCTTTTTATTACTCAACTTGGTGAATTTGTCGCAATTGACGTGATAGGTCCATGACATTTAGGGTTACGCATTAATGCCAAATGCCATTTTCATTTTATTAAATTTTTGTTTTAAAAAAAGAAACACTTTTTAGTAGCATTTCTACAATCTACTTGACATTAGCTAAGATACTTCTGCACCTTTTATTATGGGGTGTGTGATAGACTTACCTCCACGTGGTGCACCCTGGGGCAACGTATATTCATACGGCCAAAAGGTCTATAAATCAGCAGTTGACTTCTGACTTCTAACAACTCGCACCCCACAGTATGCTATATTCGACTACTTCCACAGTATTCACCTCACCTTTTTTCTACCTTTGTGTCTATCTCTTTTATTCTCACCTCACCTTTTTTCTACCTTTGTGTCTATCTCTTTTACGTCTTTGAAACACTTTTCTGTTCCCCCCCCCCTCCACTCTCGACCATTTTCACTTTGATGTTCCTCCTCCCCTCTATGAAGCCCGAAGTCAACTAAAGGGCTAATGATAACTATCAAAACGCCTGCAATTTGATATAAATGAATAACTTTTAATCATTGAATTGATTTTCATAGTAAGAAAAATAATATTAGTTTTTGATTTAAATTTAATCATCCCCACTTATTAATCTTATAATTGTTTCTCTCAGTTCTGGTAGGAAGACCCGTTGCTAGAGTTCAAAGTAATTGCCGATGAATTGTCAATTAAGCATGAATCCTACCTGAATTTGCAATCCAAAACTTAGATACGTTACTTTATCAGCCGATTTTGTGAACGCAATTTGTTTATCATTAACTAAAGCAAACTTTTACGTAAACCTTTAAGTACTCTATTATACATTTGCCTTTTGATGTTTAAGTCAATTAATAACTTGTCTTCAGGTACACACAAACCCTCAAAGATTTGGCTCATGACATTTTCTTGATTTGGCGTTAAGGTTTTGGACTTATATAAGTAGGTTAATGATAATTAAATAAAACACACCCTTCAATGTGAAATCAACTCTTACGATCTGTTGATCATTGATGTCTTTGATCGTGATATTCTAAGTGAATATAGGCGTAGAAGTTGAAAAAACTTTAAATTTTCCCCATCGCAGTAGATTTCAAGGTAAATTAAATTAACATAAAAGATCACATTGATTCAGAAGTGCAAATAGAAAACGAATTTTAAAAATATAAAAAGAAACGGTGGACTTTATTTCAAGAATAAATTAGAGTATGGCATTTATTTAGCACAAGGAATTTGATAGACACCATAGACAGCATTTTGGTAATAGAAGGCTAGATTGGAGCCTGGTCTATGCGAGCAAACGGACCAATAGCGTCCCTCGGCAATGTATACACTCCACCCATCACCGTAGAGAGTCTGTAATCGTTTTTTGATCTCGTCAATTGTTTCCTGAAATATTTTATAATACATAAGAAAATTTTAATGAAGCTTTGGGAGTTAGAGCTTTGTGCTACGGATTAAATTTACTTTTTTAGATTTTCTTTCCGCAATGACTTCGAGAATAAGGAGAGTAACAGACTCCCGTTTCATGACCGACATATCGGAGTCCAACAGTTGTACATTTTTCAAAATTGCGGGTCTCAAATAAAGGAGCAAAATAAAAATAAATTCACCTTACTGATTTGGCCAGTGTTTGAGTCCCTCACAGAGCGCATCTCGGGTAATGCGTCCTTTTCCTTTAGGGTCAGCCATATTACAAATTTTCTATAATGGAAGAAGATTCGTAGTATTTGAAGACTGTACTTACCGTTGCAGTTTTGCCATCAACCCCCCATTTCACTAGATACTTCTTGTACTCTGAAGTGGGAACTCCGGGTTGAGTCTCTGTGAGCTCGTCAAAGAGATGGACAAGTTTTTCCGGTTGAAGTGAGTCACCCATATCGCTCGATAACTAATGAATCGGAGAAATTGGTTGTAGCAAGAGACTCCCTTTTGAAGTGGCATGACAGTTTTATATGAGTGCAAGCAAGAGGTGACGGCAAGGAACCAAATAAATTAGCTTTATTCTCGCCAAATGTAACACCACCTCCACAGAGATAGTTAGAAGTGTTGGATCATCTAACTCAACACCACTTAAGTTGTGCGTTCTCAGGGGGGACGCAATTTCACCCTGTCTCACAATCCTACTCTAATTAGGTTATGTTTAATAAAATCGCTTGCCAGCGTTCGAGCAAAATTACATGCTTAATTACCATTATAGAGTTTGAAACTAATTAATTAAGCAAAATCGAAGTTTTTTTTCGGTGGCAAAGTAAATCATAATTGTCATTTAAAATCGTAATTTTAAATAAGAAATAGCTCAGATTGGATAATTATTATGACACGAACCCTTTCGATTAACCCCATATCACTGATGATCTCCTATACAGTTCAATCGTTTGAACCTCTACCATTGAAAAAGAGATTTTATTTTCAATTTTTTCATCACATGACAATAAATTTAGATTCTCTTATATTAATTATTTACTTTTGATCTCATAGTTTAAGCAGCTCCTATTGTAAATATAATTAAAATTATACCCCAGTTAAATTTTGTTCGTTTTAATTAATCGAACAATTTTTGCAATGTTATTTTTGGAACTAGTTTTACTAAAAATGTTCGAAATTTGATTTCAATTTCTGGAAAATTCAGTCTTGAGATTTTAAACTGTTTTTTTAATCGGTCTTTATCCTTTAGGCGAGGTTCACTCTTTGTGATTCAAATGTTAATTAGCGAAATCTAGGTGCAATGTCAATGCACAAATAGTTTAATTTAGTAAAAATAAATGGTATTCCTGTTTTTAAATGTCAGCGAAAACTCCATTTTTCACCAATTCGACCCCTATACTGGTTCTTTCGTCTTGAATCACTTCATAATACATCTATATTCTCTATTTAAACTTAGTTTTAGCAAAAAAGCATTAATTAAAAATACATTTCGTTTATTAAACCAAAAACGATGAAAAGTGGCATATTTCTATAATGCTGTTAGGTCAGTAAATCAGTGTGTGGAACTAACAACGGCATAACTTGAATTGATTCCGAAAGGACTATCCTCAAAATCGCGCTCAGGTGACTGGTAGATTCCATAGACAACGCCATTGTATGCAAAGACAAGGTTACCACCTGCTTTGTGAGTGCAAAGTCCCCAGTATCGACCGCTGGCCACGAACACATTCCACTGTGGTCCATAGATACTTTCGACTTGCCTCTTGATCTCCGTCACAGTGTCCTATAAAAAGGAAAAATTGATATAAATATCCACGAGACCTGAAAGATATCAAAGATTTCTCCATAACTTACTACGTAAGTGTGCTTCGAGTTGAGAACATTTAAGACGATGACCTGAATGGACTCGCTTTTCCTGATGGGCATATCTCGGCAGAGAATTTCAATATCCCGCAATCCAGCTGGTCTAATTTAAAATAGATAAAATTCGTTATTAGGGTTAGGGGTACTTGTAAAAGCCAAGTATGCTAGCTGTAGACCTACTGTTCTGGAGCAAAACCAAGACCGTTGCAGACATCTTCTCTTGTCAGTCTTCCCTTTTTGTTTGGGTTAATACGGGAACAGCAAACCTAAAAAAGGCATATCCATCGTTTAAATCGTGGGGCCTTCGTCTTACTCACAACCTGCAAACTAGTACAAAAAACGGACCTTAGCCTTCTTCTTTTCCATACCCCAGAGCATTAGATATTCCTCGTAATCCTTCAGTGTGGCATCTAGTTAGTGGAAGAAACTAGCCATTAGCACGGTCTAATGAAGATTTCTGTGGTATTTTCAGCCAGGCACAAGAATAGGAAATAAACTGCAGATCTTACCGGGCTTAGATTCACACAATTCATCGTAGAGATGAAGAAGGAAGGCGGGTGTGAATTTCTCCTGAGATGACTGTCGTGGAGCTGACATGTTGACTCGTCTATGAATACAATGTACCGAGGGGTATATTACGGTCTTTATACCTTTTAAAAGCAATTTCGTTATTTAATGAGTGCTTCAATGGCGGCTTTTATAAGACCCCAAAAGCAACCAATAAGCACGTGTAATTACTCACACCTCTACAAATACTTCAACCACCTAGTTTAATAAATTCTTCAATTTCAATAAAAATATTGTATGTTAAGATTGATTCTAGTCATCAGGAGAATAAAGAACAGCATATATAAGGACAAAATTACAATTATGTCTGCAATTTTCTCATTAGATTTTAATTATAAGAGATCAAATATTTTTGCTTCAGACTGAATGAAGTTAATTTAATTCCTTCCAACCTTATTTTCTAAACATATATTTCTTGCATATAAGGAAGTAGGTGAAGCATCTAACTAGCAGTTTAAATATATGCATTTTAAAAAATTATTTGGCAACCAAAACAAATTACTTTCTACTACATTTAAACTAGAGTTCGAAAGCTCTGTTAATCCTGAAATTTGCCATAATTTAGCTAGAAGTTCAACATACTCGTTTTCATCACTTTAATTTAACTAAAACAAACTCAATTAAAACGCGTTCTAAAATAAGAAGCTCAACTGCTTAATGAATAAAATGTATAAACTATATTTGCTATATACAACAAAAACCACTGTAATTTGCGGTAAATGTTTTCTGCTCCAGGCAGACGCCTCTGGCGTACCCTAGAACTAGCGAAAAATAGCTTAAACCGCTTTTCTTTACTCTTTCTAGTAAAATAGCGGAATAATTCAAGGGTGCCTAGTAATTCTTTGAAATTTACCGGGGAGTGGCGTCATCTGTAGGCATGGCAACTAATTTTTTCAGAGATTGGAAAGTGCTCTTAGTTATTAATTGGCATGGTTCGTTAGACACGCCTCTGCTTTGTACTACACCACAATCGGAAAATCAATAAAAAATTTTCTCGAATTTACTTACATTTTAAGGTTTTTAGTACTTGCGAGAACTTTTAAAAGATTTGTGCCGATTTTCAACTATGAAAGGAAAGGACAATACTCATACCAATGGTGAATTTTTAGGCTGCAAATACTTATTCGATATTGATTATTTCAACTCGGTTAACTTCACTACTACTTACGAAGACGATTGGTAATTACAACTTTCACCAAGTTTTAGGGGAGAAAATCTGCCTATTAACAACATAGTGATCCCAAACTGGACCTCTATTTGATTGAATAATTTCAAACGATTATTAAGGTAGAACTTAATTTCTAAGAGGGATAAACTCGATAATTTTTTAAATGCCATAAGTAAAATGAAAAGATCATTACTTATAAATTGTTAGTAAACACTCAGTTTACAAGACTCATTCTTCTTATCATCACTCGAAAAGATTGAAAAATTCATTACTTCCAAATAGACTCTTTTTAATCAGAGTCCTGTGTGTGAATGACTGCACAAAGATGATATGCTAATGGATGGATTCGCGATTCTAACACCGGATTACAGGTTTGTGGAGTGCACAAAACTATCATGTCTAAACAAAGAAATCTCATGCCCACACAGACAGACTCCAAGGTGTGGTCTTGAGCGCAAAGACCTCTCGCCCAGCCACCAATCAGTTGCCCCTGTATTGGCCAGCAAAGCTTTCATTGAATTTTAATGACTAAGCTTTGTGACAGACACACTCGCCCCAACGACTATCGGTGTGTCTTGGCAAAACTTCCAAATGACTTCAGATATCCTGCTTTTGGGACTTGAACAAGTCTAACTAATTACCAATGTTGTTCATGGTTTGGGTATAATTCCGTAAGTACATGTCGGTATATTCGGAATGTCATATTTGAGTATGCTTATCGGAATTCCTAATTTAAATGTTGTAATTTTACACAAATAATAGGTACTACCGCACTATTCATTCAGTACCTTCTACAACTTAATTTGCCGACTGATGGCAACTCTGCTGAAAATACCTTAATGCACTTGCTATTCAAATGAAATTAGCTCTCTACAAATTGGATTTTGACACATCACCATCGTATGAGTATGTAGACTGCCAGTCAAGCAGTTTCGATCGAAGTAATACTTCTCCTGCACACTTATCTCATTAACTTCTACGATGGGAAAAAAGATATGAATACAAAAAAATCCGTCAACGGAATTCCTTTTTCAAATGCTTTTTTATTTATATCAATTGGAAGGCTTTCATTAGTCCTTTAGTTGACTTTGGTACTCACAGAGGGGGAAAGCATCAAAGGCGCAAACAGTCGAGGGGAGGGGGTGGGACAGAAGAGAGATTTACAGATGCAAAGTAGAGACAGACACAAAGATAGAGTGAAAAAGGTGAGGCGAGTACTGTAGAAGTAGGCGAATATGACATACAGTGGGTTGATGGTAGTTTGAAGTCAGAACTCAACTGTCGGTTCATGAACTCTTTTGCCGTATGAGTATACGTTGCCCAGGGTGCACCAGTTTGTTTGCCGTATGAGTATACGTTGCCCAGGGTGCACCACGTGAAGGTAAGTCTATCGCACACCCCTTTTTTCAAATATTAAGTTATTCGATCATATCTCATTCTTGCATCCATTTCTCTGCTGTAGTATTACTTACTAAGTCAAGAATCAGTTGATTCCAAAACTCACGCTTGCATATAAGTTGATGCTCATTCTAAATAAGATGATGGAAAGAAACCGCGATTGGATCTACGATCGTCTTTCCACTTTCTTCTAACTCTGGGTCTCAATATGAATAGCATCCTTATGTGGAGAGCTAAGTTAATATTGTTAGGTATGTGTGGAAGCCACTGCTATCTACTCCGTAAACATGTTGTTTCCGTAACTAAAGCAAGCGATGCCAATAATAATTGATCATTTGTATCGCTTCAGCATCTACAAGTCCTGTTGTATTACAGGCTTCCGGCTTTGTCCTGCCACTGCACATTTGGATGCCTTCCTCATGAACTTCGTCCTTAATGCATTATCAAACCCACCACCCAAGACGATCCAATTCTGTGCTTATTCATACATGTTTCCCTTTTGTATTGGGGATGGACTGGGCCGACAAGTAGGTCGAACCGTGGTCCATCAAATTAGCGCTAAACGTTTGCTCTAACATTATCTCAAAAAAGGTTATCTTTAGACCAGTTTATCCAAGATATATGACGTATTTGCTCTATTACTCACCTACACTTGACTGCTATTTTTCGTAAATGTACCCGTCAAAAAATGATTTTCTGAAAATGTCTCAGCATGTCACAAGTTAACATATGATTACGATGCTGAAGTTCTCATTTGTCATTGTAATTTCTTTATCGGTGTGTGGCGAAAAAATAGTTTAAGGTCATGTTTTCTCAATTATTAACTCAATAAAGGATAATAATTACAATATTTAAAGAATTTTATGAAGTAGTCATTTGGACGATCGTCATACTATTGAAGACTTAACAATGTCCTTAGATCCCGGAACTTGCAAAACTCCGTAGGTTATGCCCTTGTAATGGAACCAAAGATTCGACTTTGCTTTGAACTGACATATACCCCAGAATCCACCATAGGCCTGATAGAGACTCCATTCTTTTCCGAACAACTTCTCAATGCGTTCTTTAACTCGGAAGAGTTTAGCCTAAAAGGAGTCATCATAAAAAATATAATCATTCAATTATAATTAAGTCTACTTTGATAAAGTTGATCAATTTTATAATATAGAATAGGGCTTAATAAATATTCAACTGAATAAGCTTGTTCAAGAATACACACCCTCACACAATTGGTCAATGACTATTCAATTTCACTGAGTTCCACTAAGTTCATTTGCTTTCACGTCTCCTTATTAAAAATAAGCTTTTAATAGCGTGTCACATTTTCATTCGCTATCCGATGTAGCCACCCCGCTTGGTAGTGTTCGCGCATATGCAAGGAAAAACGAAAGGACAGACAAGGTGACTTCGATCATTCGATTTTCCAATATGATTTGAGCACACTTGAGTGAACGTATTGGCACGCAGTTCTGTGCTTACAGAGTAAGATCTGTCCTTGATAGTGGTCATAAGTATTTAGAGGCAAAATAATTAAGATGCCTTAAACAGAGCAAAGCTTTTGTGTTAATTTTATTCTAAATTAAAATTAGACATAGTTAAATCAAACAATATTCTAAATTGTAAAATTTATTGGGTTTTGTTTATGCCTCACCTCAGGTGAATCCCGCCCTTCCATTTCCCCAAGAACAAGCTGAATAATGGTTTCTCGCTGGCGTTGGTCCATGTCCGTTTCAATTATCCTTACACTTTTAAAAAAATGCGGTCTAAAAGTTTATAAAATAGATGTTTAATTGAAATTTAAAAACCAAAACATATAAACACACACCCATACATGCATACATAATCACTAAACTCACTGGTTGGGATGATAGTCTAAAAAATCGCACAAGTCACGTCTTTTAATGTAGCCAGTCCTTCGAGGATCACATCTGTCAGTGTAATACTTAAGCGATGTAAAAGCATTATTATTCGGGAAGAAATAATATATATATATATATATATATATATATATAT